ACAGCCTTGGTTGCGTCTTGAGGAGTTACGTGTGTCACTTGAGAAGCAGATGGAAGAGGACGCGAGGAAGGCTGGGTTGATTGCTAAGTTCAGGCTGTTCCAATCCTAGCTACAATTCTTTTGCGGAGGTGGAGGCAGACTTGCAGAGCAAGACTGCGGCTGCTGACGAAGAAGCTAGACTTCTGAAGGCAGCGCCAGCGTGCTTGCTTTGTCAATGTTGCGCTTTCATGCGCTTTGTAAGGCTCATAAGAATGACCCATGCATGCCTGCAGTTCATGAGGCTGAGAAGCGCAAGCTTGAGAGCCAGATATCCGTCGTGCGCAAGAAGGCGCAAAGAGGTCAAACACAACACAGGGTTGAGTTTTGTTTCATTGTCAAGCATCCAGGATGAAAGAGCCCTAAACACTACAGTAAGATGTTGTTTAGGCTCGGCTGATGTGCCATCGTGGTTGGCAAGTTGCATGTGCCACACAGATTTCTGCCAGGCAGAGGAGAGCATCAACAAGCTGAGCAGCGATTTGAAGTCGGAGAAGGCCAACTTCATAAATTCGTAGACTCACAACGTTGGAATAGTTTCGTGGCGGTTGATGTAAATGCTGGACATGGTAATGACAGCCTTGGTTGCGTCTTGAGGAGTTACGTGTGTCACTTGAGAAGCAGCTGGAAGAGGACGCGAGGAAGGCTGGGTTGATTGCTAAGTTCAGGCTGTTCCAATCCTAGCTACAATGCTTTTGTGGAGGTGGAGGCAGACTTGCAGAACAAGACTTCGGCTGCTGACGAAGAAGCTAGACTTCTGAAGGCAGCGCCAGCGCGCTTGCTTTGTGAATGTTGCGCTTTCATGCCGTTTGTAAGGCTCATAAGAATGACCCATGCATGCCTGCAGTTCATGAGGCTGAGAAGCGCAAGCTTGAGAGCCAGATATCTGTCGTGCGCAAGGAGGTGCAAAGAGTGTAAACACAAAGGTTTTTGTTTCATTGTCAAGCATCCAGGATGAAAGAGCCAGGCTGATGTGCCATCGTGGTTGGCAAGTTGCATGTGCCACACAGATTTCTGCCAGGCAGAGGAGAGCATCAACAAGCTGAGCAGCGATTTGAAGTCGGAGAAGGCCAACTTCATAAATTCGTAGACTCACAACGTTGGAATAGTTTCGTGGCGGTTGATGTAAATGCTGGACATGGTAATGACAGCCTTGGTTGCGTCTTGAGGAGTTACGTGTGTCACTTGAGAAGCAGATGGAAGAGGACGCGAGGAAGGCTGGGTTGATTGCTAAGTTCAGGCTGTTCCAATCCTAGCTACAATTCTTTTGCGGAGGTGGAGGCAGACTTGCAGAGCAAGACT